TCATAAAGCACTTTGAGTTGGTTAACACAAAACTAATTGAACCATGTTTATTTTTACTGACATAAAGTCATATGTCTTATCATATGATTCAATATTATGATAGTGTCTCATGCTAGATATTTGGGCTGCCCGTCCACATGTTTATCATATGCTACATCATCACATAAGATTTCCTGACTTTTATTTGGTGTGAACATATGCAATCTGACTGTCTGCACGAATAATGATCAGGATTACTACACCCGGAGCTTAGATACGTATGCCTGTGGATGACTAAGAGTCTCATGGCACTCAGGGCTGAATTCTTATAGTTTCTGCAATGTATGAGTGTATTTTTTTTTGTGAGTGAATGACCAAAAACAATGTAAAACCACACAATTGCATTGAGGTGACCTATGAGGTGACCGTAAATATGAATGGACAGAGAAACACACACACACAGGCACAGACACAAGTGTCCCTGTCATTTTAGTCCTGTGGGCCCCATGGCTCCAAAACTGTTCCTCTTTCTAAATGCATTGCTCAGGTCAAGCCAGGATGACTCAGTCACCATGTATCATCTGGAGCATGGAGTCTTAACCCACTCTTTTCCATAACAAATTCAAAATACTATGGCACTCATGGAAAAAAGGACTTATATAGCAATGTTTCAATGAAGGATACTCTGAATGATTAACCGCAGTGAGTTTTGGCATGAGTCAGTAAATGGTAGATATTTCCTATCTCATTTGCTGTTTCGTTGAGTCAAAGAGATGACGATATTGTGATATTGTATGATTTTTTTTTTATGTTATGTGATTTAGCAATGATTGATTATTTGACAACTTTAGTGGATGCTCATTTAAATCTTATTTGCTTGTCTGAAATTGATGTATCAGATTTGTCCAACAACTGTAGGTGGGGCAGAAGTTAGAATAGGCACTTTCATCATCTAATGTACAGGCGTAGTTAATTTGACATGCTTTTGGAGGAAGCATGGGGATTTGGCCTTGTGAATGTTGTGTTCTGCATTCCAGACTTTAGACATCAATCAACTGCGCCATCTTGTGGTCAGGAGCGGCATAAATGACCAAACATAAAGGTATAGTTCACACAAAAAGGAAAGTTGTGTCATTTATTCAAGCTCTTCTTCCTGTTCATTACAGATGCTAAAAACTATAAACACCATATAATGTGTGCTTTCATGTTACAAATTACCGTCATTACTTTAGTAGTCCACAGTTATGCAGACATCTGGAAAGACAATACCAAGATGACCTAGAAAAGTTCATTAAGACACTTTGGAAAGGCCTTGTCTTAAGGTTTACAACAAATTAAAAAGTATTTACTTGTGACGGTTATTATGTAGTTTCAATACTCTAGTCGTTTGAATAGAGACTTGGTTAAACTGAACACAGACAGAAGAATTAACGTGTTAAGTTTAGTTGATAATGCATTGCTAGGTGGTTGCTTGGATATTCCATGTGACTGCAAGGGGTTGCTAGATAGATAGAGTTTTCATTAGTCATCTGTTAGTGCATACTTTTGCCATGTTTACAGCGGGTTCAACAACCATCTTCTTCCAGCATATTTGGTGTTGAAGTCGCCTCCTCTGGCTAGCGCGCGCTCAGTTCGCTCCTCTCTACGCAGTCTGGAAATGCACTTCCGGTCGGTGAGACGTGGCTGACAGTGAAAAACCTTCCAGAAGGGAAATCGGGAGACTGTCTGCTGTACTCCTGCTCTTCTAGACCGCAGTGCCTGGATGGCAGGGTTAAGCCGGAGTAAAAACTGTAGGAATTTCAGCAGGGTAAGACAAAACGTTTGTTTATGTATCTCTGCGAATCTTGTAGACAGTGATTTGTTTTTCAAGGCAAGCAACTTTGTGTCGATGTAGTATGCGTGCACCGTTGCTTTTATCAGAAACATTGCAGCAATGTTGTGTTTTGCGAATTTTTGCCGTTTAGGCATGCTATTCTTAAGTAACACATAAAACTGCCGGTTTTGCCTTTGGGCTTTTTTGCTGTTTTACTTAGTTTAGCAGCCAAACGCTGAAACACGTCAAACTTTGGAGGGTTTTTAAAGCCCAGTGGGCTGGAATTTTTCAGGAATCTCATGCACTCCCACAGACCGTCCGAACGTGCTGCTCCTGTGTGAATGTTACACTTGCTTTTTTTTGTCCAACCGTGACGGACGTTATTAGTGGCAATCACAACTGTTAAAACCAAAATATTGTTTTATTTGTATATTGCATATTTGTGGAATAAAGGCAATTTAAACTCGTATGCCATGTTTCAATATCCTATAAAGATCAGATGCTGAAGACAGCTGAATTTATTTATCCTCAATATTATGGGTGATAGTTATAAACTGTGTGAAGAGATTGTGTTAGCCCTGACTCGAATGCATAATCTGATAGGCCTACCATGTTTTCATCTCTATGTAGATTATTTTCCTGTGTTGGCAGTAACTGAAAGGTGTGGTGTTTTTTTGTAGGTTGTCCCTCACATTGGAGTGGATGCACTTAGTCTATATCTAGACCAGTGTTTCCCAACCGGGAAATTTAACTAGTAAAAAAAAAAAAATTTTTAAATTGCTAAAATGTTCATAAAAGCAGCTATTATTACATAATAGTCATTTCTGATGTCGCCAATAATTAGAGATGCACTGAAATTCCGGCTGCCGAAAATTAGTTCACCGCTCAGGTTTCACTTTCAGGTGGTGTGACGCTCTGTGTCACGGCCCATGTGAGTGCTCCACTCATATACCGTTCATGCTCATCGGAACAGCAAAGTCCACTCAAAAATCAAGCTGACAGGAAACATCGATGTAGTACAGTATTGTTTCTGTCTGCAATAGCCCTACTGTACTGCTGTGGTAAATGGGCAACTCTGGTAACGCTGCCCTCTCATTCATTGATCTGCTAACCGTTATGCTCAGGTGTCCTCTGATGGTAATAATAACTTCCTAAGATGAAACATTATTTGGATAATTGTTAAAAAAAAAAAAAATCTCTTAATAGCCCTACTGTGTGTTAGACCTACCTGAAAAACTAAAGCAAATTATTTAATTTGTAGGCCTATCGTTATTTTTTATTTGTGCTATCATTAGTAATTTCTTTATTTATTCTTATTTTATTATTAGCTGCTTAGTCTCCTTGTCATTTTTCATTCAATTCAAAGTTTTAAATCAAGCTATCTCGTGCTACTGCAACAAAATTACCCAGCTGTAAAATCAAAAATACACTGAGTGAGCAAAACTTTGTTTAATTAGCATTATAACTAGCTATCTCACAATGTTTACATATGAATAAAAGCCTACATTAAAATCTGTCATATAAATTGGTCTTTTCATTAGAAATTAGCCTACTGATTGCCACCATTGATGGACAAAATGTTTTAATAATATTAAAAATATCCGTATGCCAGTGTATTGTGCAGTTCTTCCCTGCTGTACCGAATATCTATACTTTTCAAAGTATCATATCGAAGTTAGAAATTCAAATATTGTGACACAATTAATTTTGTAGGGTGCCACAAATTTGTTAAAATTTCCAAAGGGTGACTAAAGAAAGGTTGGGAAACACTGATCTAGACCTTTCAATTTGTAGGCCAAGCCACAGGGCTAATTCACCATGGCTTCACCCTGGAATTTCAAATGTGTTTTTGAAATAGAAGTTTTTTTACACTTGTGTATTGTGTTTACCAACTTTAATTTTGAAGGTGTTGTTAACAAGTTGCTATATTAGAACTACAACAGGTATTTAATTTGGAAAGCAAATTAACTCACATCCTTGTGGTAGTTGCTGTGGGAAAAAAATCTTTCAAATAATGGTTGTACAAAAACTAAAAGAAAAGTTTGATCAGAGTTTCTGTGCATCCAATAATAATACAGTTTAACAGATGAAACTGTGTAACGAAAAAAGAAATACACTACTGTTTAAAAGTTTGGGGGCTAAGTTATTTTGTTTTAATTCTAATATGCTGATTTGGGGCTCAAGTAATATTTCTTATTATTGTCAATATTGAAAAGAGTGCTGCTTAATATTTTTGTGGAAATTGTGATCCTTTTTTACTAGAATTCTTTGAACATAAAGTTCAAAAGAACTGCTTTTATTTTAAATATATTTTTGTAACAATATAAAAACCTGATCAATTTAATGCATCCTTGCTCAATAATAGTATTATTTTCTTTTGTAAAAAAAAAATCTTACTGACATTGAACTCTTGATTGATAGGGTATACAGAATAGAATATAATAATTTTTCCCTTTGCTGCTTATGCCTGGTTCCACATTTTGTTTTTTCGTACTGTGTTAAAGTAATTTCCCAGCCACAGAATAAGCCACAGTTATTATAGGTGATTCGTCATTAAAACATTTTTATAAGGTGTCAGGTCCAGTCCTAAATTAATGTGTAAACCAAGCCTGGTTGATTGATTGAGAATCTTTCCCAAACTGATATAAAGAATCTTGCAGAGACGGTAACCAATCACTGGGAAAAATGTGTTGAAAGCAGCTGCTACCAGCATTCCATCAGCAGACAGACGGGCCACAGAAGTCAGCCACGGTGCACAGAAACCACAGCTGAGAGACCTTACAGACTGTGGGCTAGAACAGGGAGGAAGCGTCTAGTCCTGTTACTACAATCGAAAATGCCAGCTGCTGTAAACGATTCTCTTCTCACAGTCAGCTTTTGTCAGCCATTTCTGTCTCTCTAAACTGTGGAAAGAATTTGTAAATTTAGAGGCAGAAATGTTTTTAATGACCCAAATGCTTACATTTTTGGACTTTATGAGTGTGAAATGTAGACATGAAGCTAAACTGAGTGTTATTAGTCTGCTTGATTTAAGAATTAAAAAATAATTTCTAGTTATTAACTGCTTAAAATATCTATCCAGAGAGTGGTGGTATGCTGAAGATTCCCACGAAACATTTTCCTCAGTTTATATAAATGAATGTAACATGTTTATAGCAGTGTACTTACAACAGGCAGTACTGTGAGTAAACATTTAAAATATGCAGCAATGGCACATAAAATTGCATGTGTTAGAGTGGGTTAGGATTGTTGGGGGGTGATTTTAAAAGTTGGGGGTCGATAAGATTTTGAAATCTTTTTGAGTGAAGTGCGTTATGCTCACCAAGGCTGCATTTATTTATTAAAAAATACAGTAAGAAAAGTAATATTGTGAAATGTTAATGTTTAAAGTAACTGAATATATACTGATTATATATTCATATTTTCAAATGTAATTATTCTTATGTTGGCAAGGCTGAAATTTCAGCAGCCATTACTCCAGTCTTCAGTGTCATATGATCCTTCAGAACTCACTCTGATCTGATTTTGTGCTCAAGAAACATTTCTTAATCAGTTTTGAAAACAGTTGTGTTGCTTAATAATTTTGGGGAAAGTGTGATGCATTTTTTCAGTATTATTTGAATAGAAAATGGAAAAAGCCACATTTATTTGAAATGGAAATCTTTTGTAAGAATGTCAAAGTTTTTACTGTCACTTTTGGTAAATTAAAAGTATTAAAATGAATGAATCTATCAATCAATCTTGCTGACCCCAAACTTTTGAATAGTAGTGTATCTGGTTATTTTTTCTTTGTATCTGATTTCATCTGAAGATTTGATGATGGGTAAAAGTGTCTTTTTGCTCTTGAATGCTGTGAAATGATATCCAGATTTGTTAGAAAGACTTATCATGGTGTTCTCTCTCTTTCCATACTAGTCGTCCTCAACAGATCTGAGCAGCGAGGTCTCTGTGTCCCCAAAAACAAATGGCATCTGCTCCAACAACAACTCCGACTCCAAGCCAAAGACTGACATCAGCCTTTACGCAGAGCCAGAGAAAATAAAGGTAAGATGCGCACACAAATCACGCCTTGTTCACAATAAAAGATCTAAGAGATAAATGCATTTAAATCTAGCAATGTTTCCTTGGAACCAATCAATACAGCATTTGTAAATTGTCTCTTACCTATTATCTTTTCTCTTAGATTTATTGTATATGCTTTGTTTCTTTATTTTTTCAGACAAGTGGTTATCTAAACCTTCTTGCTAACTGCATTGATAACTTCACTCATGGGCTGGCAGTGGCAGGAAGCTTCTTAGTAAGCCGAAAGGTAAGGGCAAACGGAGACCAATTCTATATGAATGGGCTTCAGGGTTCATTAGTACTACTACAGAACTCAATAAAGTAATGCTAAAGTAAAGCTGATTGCTGCTAGAACAGCCTACTATAGAGTGCACTATTAATGAATTGTTAATGTAACTTAATGTGAACAATTCTGTGTAGGGCAATGATTTTATGTGCTTTATAAATAGATTCAGAGTTCCTGTATAAATATAATCTGATTTGGCCACTTTTAAACCTTAAACTGATAGCCTCTCCCATAGTTCTTTTGATCAGTGTAGATCATTGCAAACAGTGAGATAGAGATGTTTATGTGATGTGTGGGAATATTTATAGTGCGGTAGTATTTATATGGCTTTGTGGAGTTGAAGTCCAGGTGGAGAAGCATACGGCTCCCAGCATGCGTGGGGAGGGGGTTTCAGAGGAAATGGACTTGGTGCAACAGAAACCACCATACTTGCACAGAAAACACACTTTTACACATTTGCTCACTTGCCTGGACATACATATCTGGCTGCAGAAATGCAAGGGAGAGGATTGATGGAGAACTGTGCCATTTTACTGTTTTCCCTACCTCCGCCATAGCTTCTGTTGACATTCAGTTAAACATATGTGCCAAATAAACATTATGTGGATTATAAAACATGGTTTTACTGCCCTACCGTGGTTAAATTGGAAAACAAGAGTGCACTACAATATGTTTACAATACCTTATTTTACCTGTTCTAACAGGTTGGTTTCTTAACAACATTCGCTATTCTGCTTCATGAGATCCCTCATGAGGTACGTATCTCAATATCTTTCTGTCTTTCTCTGTTTCTTGAGTTTCACAGCCAGGTAATTATTACACAGAAACGATGCAATACATTTTTAGCTGATCGGTAGCAATTTCTTACTATTGACTTGGAATGATCAAGGAGTCATTCAAGAGATATTTTATGTGAAATGTCTCATTTAGTGCTCAGTACTTACCAATTTCTGTTGCTGTGCACACATTTCTGTCTTCATGAAAAGGTGGGAGATTTTGCTATTCTGCTGCGAGCAGGATTTGACCGTTGGAAAGCTGCCCGTATGCAGCTCTCTACAGCGTTAGGAGGAGTCCTGGGGGCATGTTTTGCTCTTTGCTCCCAATCACAGAATGGGGCAGGTGAGACACCTCAGTCATCAGACATTTCTCAGATTAAACACTACAGTTCAAAGATTGGGGTCAGTAAGATTCTTTAAAAAAAATTAAACATTTTATTCCATAAAAAATTAAAATAAAAAAATATATATATTAAATAAATGCTGTTCTTTAACTTTCTTGCAGCACAACTCTTTTTTTTTTTTAACACTGATAATAATAATTGGTTATTGAATGATTTCTGAAGGACCATGTGACACTGAAGACTGATAATAATGTAATGGAATAATGGCTGCTAAAAATAGAACAGACTTGTTTTAACACTTTTGTAATAGTATTTCATATTACTGTTTTTACTGTAGTTTGATTAAATAAATGCAAACTTTGTGAGCACAAGAGATCTTTAAAAAAAAAACATAAAAAAAAAAAAAACGCCCCCAAACTTTTGTACTGTAGTGTATCTTTGAGCTTTTTCATAGATAGATTAGATAGGTCGATTTTTTTTGTATTGTCATTGTTTTGAACAACGAAAGACTGTTTAGCAGCTCACAAGGTTTTGGCATAATAGACAAACATGAATAGATACAAATAAACATAAAATAGACAAGAAGAGAGGTATTCCAGAAGGTAATATATAGTGCAAGATATTGTAGTGCAAACTGGAGCAAATTAAACAAAAGCAACAGTGCAGAATACAGTATCCATAGTATTGGTGTATACTATAGAAATGTATATCATAGTGCTAGTAAAAAAACAAAACACAAAAACTACTAAAAACACAAAACATGTTAACTTTCTTCCGATGTCAGTGGTGGTTGTTGTTTGCACTGTTGTTCTTCCTTATTTATGACTTAATGTAGGAATCCCATGCCTAACATGACTTTTAGCTGCTACTGATGCTTAATAAATAAATTGGTGTTTTTATTTGGGTTTTCCACAAAATAAATGTCTAATCATCTATTGCTGGACTATATATGTGGATCAGTGTGCTCATTTAAGCACCTTATCAAACATATTCTTCAGTGTTGGTTCTGCTCACGTGTATTTCTAGAGAATGCCACTGCCTGGATCCTGCCCTTCACCTCAGGTGGCTTTCTATACATTGCCTTGGTCAATGTGGTGCCTGATCTGCTACAGGAGACCAACCCTAGGTAAAGTGTCCACTTCCCTGAGAATGGGGTCTTTTCGGTCTGTTTGTCTCCCACAGTGTTGCATGTAAAATCCTGCCGGACTTCACATATTAAATAAACTGAATGTCAATGATCATATCTCCTGTTTCCACAGGAACTCCTTTCTGCAAATTCTGCTATTGTTTTGTGGGATAGCAGTCATGGCTCTTCTCTCAGTCGTCATGGACTAGCCACAGGCAAGCACTCCTTTTATCAAAGGACATTGAGAGTGCTAACTAGCATGCTGGAGGACTTATGGACAATTCACTCCACTGGTTATGCTTTAATTTAGAGATTTTTGTCACCCTCAAAGACCATGTGAGGAAAGACCAATGAAAGAAACAGCCTTGACAATCAGGTGTTTGAATGTGTGTCCATGTGATTTTAGCCTTATCCTTCATACACCTCTGTGTCCGGATTTAATTGAAACTGAACTCACGATGCCTTATAGGCACCAGCTGAAACTGACGGGAAATACAGGTTTGTGCAAATGGTGCTCAGAAATAACAATGGTTGTTTTGGCTGAAATATGCCAAAACATTTGCAACTATTCTGTGTTCTTGTTCATGTTCCTGCTGGGTGTCATTGAACTTTCCAAATCTTTTTTTTTTGTCAAACACATTTCCAATGTTAGTAGGTTACATCAATGTGATTTGCTTTAATTGTAGCATACTGCACATGCAGGTTTCACAAGTCAACACTTTATCCTCTATTAAGAGAGGCACATACGCTTACATAATCAGATTTTTGATGGTCATCATAATTGAGTTTCCTTAAAACTAATACTGCTTCACTTTCTGTTTAAGTTAAATATATACTCATTTCACACTTAATTTGCTCAAGTTAAGACATATACACACTTTGCATGACTACATATTCCTAATTGCACATCCATTAATGAACACTCCTTTTTTCAAACACTTTTGAAATGCTTAACAGGCCTTATTTTCTCGTTGTATTCCTCAATTGTTTTTTAATTGTGCTGTTTTTGTTTTTCCTTACAGTATTTAGTCTTATTGATTGTGTCCTGATAGCCACTACACTGCTGCATTTTAGCTTTAATTTACTGATTTTCTGTACAGTTCATTGTTGTCTTGACATTGCAATACACAGTTTTCAGTTATTTAGTCTTGGGGATTGATGGATTCATAAGCAGACAGTTCTTTTACTTAACTGACTTGGTGCCATTTCATACATTTCATTCACATTTTTAAAAAGACAAAATAGTTGATAAATGGATTGTCTGTTTGGGAGTTTTGTTTATGGGATGTTACTGAAAAGAATGTTCTGGATGCGTCACATGGAAGGTCAGAACAGTCTTTGCCAGATGGTAAATATTTGAAAAGAGATTATATATTTATTCTATTAACAATGTCATGTTGAAAGAAAAAATGTTTCACTTTTAAGTCCTCCCATTGTTATAGTTGAAATAAAGAATTGTTACTGTTTGATTTAAAACTCTTGTTGCGTCTGGTTTTTAAGTGTGCAGCTTTTACTTGTAGGAGTGCAACTGCTCCTAGCACTGTAGAAATTCCTTGTAGAAATGTTTTAATCGTTTCAGCCAACAGTTTGTCAAATCGGAGTCATTTGTTAACCTCCTAACAAAGTGTCTCTTCCTTATACTGCTGAAAAGCTGTTTGGCTTAAAGTGACCGTTCATCCCAAAATGAAAATTCTGTCATTTACTCACCCTCAACTTGTTCCTAAATATACAAGTTTCTTTGGTTACACTTTATTTTAAGGTGTCCTTGTTACAGTGTAATTATACATATAAGTACTGAGTAATAATGATTAACTACTTGCTGTATGGTTAGGGTTTGGGTTTGGCTTAGGGTTACTTGCATGTAATTATGCATAATTAATTGTTATTATAATAGTACGTATGTGTAAACAAGGACACCTTAAAATAAAGTGCTACCGTTTCTTCTGTTAAATACAAAAGGTGATATGTTGATAACCAACAACATGAGGGTAAATTAGAGTAAATTGGGTGAACTATCCCTGTAAGGGACAAAACCGATTTACCTTGTTTTACCTGCTTTAGTACATTTGAGGACCATGTTCTGATCCACATTTAACCATTGACAGCTTTTTCTATTTCAGGTTTATAAAAATGCTAACATATATTTGTGATATTTCACTTTTATGTCCTTTTTTTTTTTTAGATGCAGAACCATTCTCTCCAGTAGATTGCTTGTGACACTGAAGTGATGCATGTTGAGTGAGTGTCATTCCTGCATTGAAACAGGTCTTTTCTATTGAATTCGAGTTAATTGACTCAGAATGACAGAATTAACAGTTCTGGTTTTCATGTCAGAATGACACTGCATATACAGTACCTTTCTGAAGTACTAAAATGCATTTAATAATGAAGATGCAATGTTTCCAGCATAAGTTGCACATGACCTGCTAAATTACCACCTATTCCTTTGCTGTTACATGTCCATGCGGAGGAAACATTATGCCAAATGACTCTCATGAGATTGCTGCCTCTACCATTATGGACTCCCCACCATGTTTAACAGTTAGCAACCTAGACTGTGCTTTTGTGACGTGTCCACGAGCTTTGGCTTTCCACTACTGTTCCTCTATGCTGATGCAGTTTGCTTGGATGACAACTGTGGGGTTTATTTGCGCATCTTAGGTCTCAGTCTGCAAGGTCTTTGTGTTTTTTAATGCGATATGTCATACTCAAATGGCTTGTATTGCCTGCCGCTCCAAGTCCTGTATGTGTTCAAAGTACCATTTCTGCAACGGTGTCGGCTATGCCAAGATGCGTGCCACAAGCACATTTTTACTGCACAGTCTGGGTCTGGAATGTCATATGGGAATCGGGGTGGTACTGATTTTGTATTCACACTTGTCCTATTTCAACACAGTCTGTTTGGCAAGGGATTGTTGCCATAACGACTAGCCTGTGGGTTGTCTTCCTTTGTCGTCTGCCCTGACAGAGCCCACTGTGTGTGGGAAACCACCTGGAACTTTAGACAATGATATACAACGTTCTATATTTGAAAGCATTTATGCCTTGTCCTTCAAAACCACTTTTAATGGGCACCTAAAACGTGGCTGCTTGTACTAACATGATTTATTCTCCTGTATCTTGACCTGAACCTCCCACGCTTTTGAAACTCTTCTCAGTGCTTCTCTCCCTCTCTGTGGGCCACCTCCATGGATGGCAGGTGGCAAGTTAGTGCTGCTACAGTTCACACAAGTATATTAATAAAACAGTTGAGTGCACCTGATCATGGGAAAATGGTGAGAAATATAGGAACAGTGAAGGAAAATAATGCTGAAATAACAAGAATGTCTGGAAAGGACAGATGCAGCGTTTTAGACATAGATTTGGCCCACCGGATGTAATGTGGAAGGGAAAATGTCTATCACATTTTATATTTCAGTCTAAATTAATGTTTTATTATAGCACAGTAATAAGTGCTTTCTCACCTCTTATAATATGGGTTAGATTGCAGCTGGGAATGATTTAGAAGACAAAGTCTACCATATGTCGGCAGGACACTGCTGTCTTCTGGGAGTTTCCTTTGAGCAATTTTCTGTTCAGTTTTGTATACTTTTCTGAAAGTATACCGTAGAAAATAAAAAGTTGAGTTAACTTTAAAAAAAATAAAGCAACTGGCTGCAAAGCACTTTTTATGTGGATGAAGTTGAGCCAAATCATATGAAAGTTCACTAAAACTACTGGTTTAAGTTGAGTGAACAACCAGTCAAACCTTAAATGAGTTGGCACATCTTGTGTATTCCTGAAGTTTAGTAAACTAAAAAAAAGCTTTGCAGCCAGTTGCTTTAATATTTTAAGTTGACTCAACTACTTTTTCCCATTAAAATGTATAAATCTTACATCCAGATTCTCAGCCAAATTTTTGCATGCTCCTCACATCATTTAAGAATACAAATGCATGGAGTACAAACCTGTAAATATAACACAAACAAGATTTTGTCATTATTACAGAAAGTATTTATTGTCATTCTGCAAAATGGCACATTTGGTATGTGATGCAGTTTTACTCCATTCAATATCAGGATTTTTAAAAAACTCCACATTTATTAGAATAGACATGCAACAACATTTACAACAAAAATGCTCTTAAATTATTCTTTTAGAACCAGAAAAAAAAGTAACAATAAAAATATTACAATTCTGCAGTAATAAGCAAAGTCTTAAATCAAAAGTCACAACAAACCTTGCATATAATTTAAAAGAAGCTAAATTTGCTGTCACTTTATACTTTCATTATATATATATATATATATATATATATATATATATATATATATATATATATATATATATATA